GCTGGAAATCAGCTGTGGATTTGTGACAGAGTTAAGGGGGAGCTACTCACTGAGATTTTGGTGAAGATGGAGAGCAGGAGCGACAGGCTGGAAAGGTACATCCTGATCCTCTCCCCTCCAAACCTCCGCTGGAGATACTCGGGCACTGTGACAATCTGCTGGGGGGGAGAGAGAGATCACTGCCCTGTCCAGGGCCCACCCTCCAGGGATGGGGCAAGGGGACAGCAGTGTTCCAGGGCAGGACTCAGGAGTCCCACGGGACAGTGGTGACAGTCCTCCTGGGAGCAGAGGTCCCCACAGCAGGCTCAGGACAGCTGTACATACCCCAGATGAGATGTAAACTGGCACGAACACCCAGGCGAGTGCCAGAAGAGCATAAGTGGCCTGTTGGGAAAGAGGAACATGGCACAGAGGGAAAAAAACATGGATCCTGCTGCAGCTCGACACTGACTGCATTCCTAGACCCTGTCCCTGCTCCTGACCCGGTCCTGGATTACCCCTGAGGGCACATTTACAGTCCCAAATGGCTTCAGACTGCAGGCATGGGGTTCTGGTGGAGATCCCCCAGCACCCCTGCCAGCAGGAACCTGCTCCCCTCAGCCCTTCAGCTGGGGGGACTGACTGGACATTTCCCACCAACTCCTTGAGCACCACACAAGCCAAATGCCTTTTTTTTTTTTGCTGCAGAACCCAAGGATTTTGGATTAAACGTGCAGGGAAGCAGGGAATGGGTGACCTATTCAGTCATTTCCCTGTCAGGGTCTGCGGGGACTGGATTAGGAAATGGGATCCAAAATGTCCTTTTCCCTGAGCACGTGGAGCTGAGCTGGCTGCGAACTCACCCTACACGAGCCGGAGGAGCTGAGTTAGCAGGGTTGTGCTAATTACCCCCCTGCACGGCTCCTCCTAAACCTTTCGAGAGGGTGAAATGGGCCATCTGCTGCGACAAACTCATTTCCTTAATGACACGACACATTTCTTACATTCCACTCGAAGCCGGCGACAGCGATTCCCCCGGCGGCGCCGCTCCCGGCCAGGCCGATGAAGAGCCCGGAGCCCTCGCTGCTGGCAAAGAGCGAGGCCCCGATCTGCGGGAGCAGAGGAGGGGCTGCAGGTGCCCAAACGCTGGATCCCCACGGCTCTGCACGGACCAGCTTTGGTGCTTCCCCACCAGCGCAGCCCCGAGGGGATAATTCAGGAAAAGGAGGCAGGGAAAAATAATGCCTGAACGGGAGCAACAGGGCACAGACCTCCCTTCCACTTCTGAAACGAAGCGTGGCCAAAAGGGCCCCCACGTGGGATTTCTTTTTTGCAAGAAAATCCCTTAATAGGTAAAACTCAGGTGGCTGTGAGTCCTAGGAACCAGCATGCCCATGGATCCAGCTCATCTGGACATCCCTGATGGGTTTGGGATGGACTTTCTTGCCTTCAGGAGGATGAGGAGGAGCCACGTGTTGCTGCATTTGCCATGGTGGCCACTCACCCTGCCCGGATGGTGGCCACGTGCAAGGAGCCAGTACCAGACATGGGAAGGACCTACAGCCAAGTTTGTCAAGATTGTACCAAAATGAGAAGGAAAAACCAAACTTGGGACACCCATGATTTGTTGGAGCCACCAGGAGCACGCAGGGAGAGTGGAGATGGATGTTGGACTCCAAGGATCCCTCCCCAGGCTCAGGGAAGCCCGACAAGCCCAGTGGGCTCCAGTACCCTTTGTGCAATGAGAAGGGAAATGCAGCTCCAAGGACATAAATCCTGGCAGGAGGAGGTGGGGAGGGTGGGGGAAAGCGTGGGCAGTGGAGAAAGCAGGGAAGGGATTTGGTGGGAGGGACAGTGGTGCACAGAATGTCCCTGTGCCCAGGGTGCCACAGAGGGACAGAGAGGTCTCTACTTACTGGCCACCAGGCCATGTCTCTGCCAGCAAGGAAATAGCCACTGACCGTGTTCCTGTTCACCCTGCAGGAAGACTGGGAGGAGGAAAGATCAGCACAGAGCACCCTTTCCCTAAAAACCCAGACCAGACACCAAGACCCAAGTCTCCCAGACGAGAAGCCAAGAGACAGGAGACTCGATAATTAATGGGAGCTCTGCAACTCGAGCTTAATTACACGAAAGGGTGGCTGCACCCCAGGAACCATGGAGCCATGAATGGCAAAGGGAGCTCCCTGAGAGGGGAAGCACGGAGGATGTGCCTGTCCTTGTGCCATCCCGAGCAGACAGGTTGGCTAATAGGGCCCAGCTTTGGCCAGGATTTTTCCGCAAGGCAGAATAAATGGGTTTGGAGAGTCTTTGTCTGAAACTGCTGTAGCTGAGGGTTGTTTGTGTTATCAGGGCATCTGGCTCAACACCCTGTAATAGGCAAGGGGCAGAGCTGCTCACACCCAGCACACAGAGGCCAGGGGAGAGGTTTGTGCCATGGCTGATTCCACCTTGTTCCCAAGCTATAGGAGCCTTTCTATAGGGGGTGAAAGGGGCAGAGGGTTTGCACAAAACAGAGCAAATCACAGAATCCCAGAACGGTTTGGGTTGGAAGGGACCTTAAAGGTCATCTTATTCCATCCCCTTCCTAGACCAGGTTGCTCCAAGCCCCGTCCAGCCTGGCCTTGGACACTTCCAGGGATGGGGCAGCCACAGCTTCTCTGGGCAACCTGTGCCAGGGCCTCACCCCCTTTCAGGGATGAATTTCTTCCCAATATCCCATCTAACCCTGCCGTTTGTCAGTTTGAAGCTGTTCCCTTCATCCAAAGTCCCTCCCCAGCTCTCTTGGAGCCCCTTTAGGCTCTCTAAGGTCTCCCTGGAGCCTTCTCTTCTCCAGGTGAACACCCCCAGCTCTCCCAGCCTGGCTCCCCCCAGCACAACACACAAAATACCCAAGTGAAAACTACAAGAAAATAATGGAGGCTTTCACCAAAAAGCCAGCCCTGAAAAAACCCCACCATTCAAACAAAAAAGCAGAAACGAACAAGAGAAAAGACTCTTACCCATATTCCCACGCCAACGTTCAAGGAAAAATAAGCCACTACCACAACAAGGTCAGCAACGCTGAACTGCTGCGAGGGGAGAACGGCCCCAGCAGTGGAATTGCTCTCCATCATCCTCTGCCTCCTTCTTCATCCTCAGCCTCACAAGGACAGTCACTCAATCAGTAACTCATTAGCAGCCCGAGGGCATTTATCATTAAACAACCTGGCAGCTGGAATTGCACTTCCAAAGGTGCCTGGGTGGGCAGTGTGGCCTCTGCTGCCTCCCACCCCTCCGCTCCCCAGGGAGCTGAAACACCTCAATTTTGGTGCCTCACAAATGAACAGGTACAGAAAATGTCCCAGTGACACTGTATACGCTTCAATCCTTCTCCACCACTCCAATGAAAAGCTAAAGGACCAGAAATCCAGCCCCATGGATGAAATCTGTCCCCAAATTCTTGAGCCCTCATCAATACCATAATTGCTTTGCATGAAACAGGGCAAGGCTGGGGGTTTTGTGTTAAAGGAATGATTGAACACAGGAGTTGGGTGAATGCCCGAGGTGGAGCCTCAGCATGGCAGCAAAGGGCTGACCAGGAGAAACCCTCACAGAAGGGATCATAAATCCTGGAATCATTTAGGTTGGGAAAGCCCTCCAAGATCATCCAGTCCAACCGTTAACCCAGCACTCCCATGTCACCACCAAAACCACGTCCCCAAGTGTCACATCTACACGGCTTCTAAATCCCTCCACCACTGCCCTGGGCAGCCTGTTCCAACGCTTGACAACCCTTTCCATGAACAAATTTTTCCCAATACCCAACCTAAACCTCCCCTGGTGCAACTTGAGGCCGTTTCCTCTTGTCCTGTCACTTGTTACCTGGGAGAAGAGACCACTAACTGGCTGCACTCTCCTTTCAGGGAGCTGTTGAGAAAGGAAGACATTGTTATTCCTTAAAGGCCAACACGAAACAGACACAGGAAACCTTTGAATTCCACATTTTTGGGTATTTAGCCAACAGTTTGCTGCGCTGGAGGCTTGGCTGGCTCCTTCCCAAGTGGCAGCACGCTTCCACAAGGTCTCACTAATAAAATAAACACAGTGCAACTAATATGCCCATCACCGAGTCAGGTCAGCGTTCCTCCTCCCTTTGAAGGAGCCGCGGCAGCAGCGGGAGCAGCTCCACACATCCCTGAGAGGAGCCGACCTTCCCCCTCGCTGCCCCGCTGGAATTTGACCCGCATTAACACATCCAAAGTACTGACAAGTGTGAATACATCAGCCTAGTGTACCCATTAACGTTAAGGAAAACACCTGCTTTTATCCTCAGAAGTCAATGAACCCTCCAAAGCCCTTGGAAGTTCGTCTCAAGCAGAGAATTGGTGTCGACAAAGGTCAAATTTCCCTTCTGAACGTGCCAAAAGTTTTATACTCATTTGTAGGACACGACAGGGAGATTAAACCAAACCACCTCTAAATGCTCATCAATTCCAGCGCTGTTTTCTCTGCAACAGGTGAGGAACTTCAAGTCTCCAGGACCGGAAGCTGTCTGGCAGCTGTCTGGCCATTCCACCCACACCTGCCCAGGGATGCTTGGGAAAACAAACCCGAACAAGTTCAGCTCTGCACTGCAGAGTATTTTTTAACTCATCCACACTTTCAGGCCAGGCAAGAAACCTCAGAAAAGCCCAGCTTACCTGTGATGAGCTGAGATGGATTTTACCAGCTTGAATTTCCACCCCCCACAATATTCCTGAGTCACAGAATCACAGAATGGTTTGGGATGGAAGGGACCTTAAAGCTCATCCCATTCCACCCCCTGCCATGGGCAGGGACACCTCCCACTAGCCCAGGTTGCTCCAAGCCCTGTCCAACCTGGGCTTGGACACTTGCAGGGATGGGGCAGCCACAGCTTCTCTGGGCAACCTGTGCCAGTTTCTAAGTCCCTGTTGCTCTCTGATATCCACCTGTAACACCTGCCAATATTTAAGAGGACAGAGTCTGGAAGACAAGGGACCAGCACATGAACATTTTTAGAAAGCTCACACAAAACAAGTCTTTATTCTTTTGTTGCAGAAAATAAATACAGGTGCATATTCCATATGCTTTTCTATAAAAGCACTCCTACAAAATCACTGAACTGCATACAACAGTACAACCTTTTTGGTTTTTAAAATGCAAATATTATACAGTCACTTCAGTTTGTTATCATTTAAAGCACTTGTAGCAAGCAGCTTTGGAAAAGGAATGCTTAATTTAGAAGCCAATTTCTTGCCTCAAGTGTTTTGTGGGATTTTTCCATCGTGTATAGTGCAACTAACCTAAAAGCAACTAGAACAGTTTTTTGTAAAATGTTTATTCCCACCCACCCCCCCCCAAAAAAAAAAAACCTGCAAAGAAAAAAAAAAGCTCTCAAAAACTGTTCTACCTCCATACTTAAACCAAGAGAAAACAAGAAGTGGCTCAAGGGAAAGATTAAGGTAAAGCACGATGCTTCACAGCTCATTCTCTGTTCACTTCCAGTTTGGCCCGGGGTGTTTCTTTAGAGTAAGAAGCATTAATCATCCAGTCCTATATTCCTGAAAAGGTACGACATGGACTCCCCGTTGTGGATCCTGCGAATGGCTTCCGAGAGGATCATGCTGATATCCACAGTCTTGATTTTAGGGCACTGGAGTTTCTGTATTTCATGTGGAATTGTGTTTGTAACAACCACCTACGGGAAGAAAAAATGATCAGGAGGACATAGCACCGTTATGTTTTCCACCTTCCCTATTGGAAGTGTGAAAGGGAGTTTCACAGATCCTATCAAGCCACCACTGCTGATAAGATTTTATGTTATTGTCAGGGTCAAAATCCTAGGAAAAGCTGCACATTGCCATGGATACTAATGGCACTGTCCTTCTTTCATTCATTCTGCCACCTGAATGAGCCAGAGGAAGGTACAAAATATCCCCAACACTGAGGGGAAAGCTCCACTGACACTGGCAGTCCAGCACCTCACCACTTCCCACGTTTCCCTCTCCTGCTGTGGCTTAAGGACAGGTAGATGTTTCCTTAAAGAAAAAACCAATAATTTGATCAGGATTCAGAATCCACACTTACCTCATCGATGGCAGACTCCTCGATGAGCCGGGGAGCGTCTGAAGACAAGAGGCCGTGGGTGGCCATGACAAAGATCTTGTAAGCCCCCCTCTCCTTGAGGGTCTCGGCCGCAGCCAGGAAGCTGTCGACATCATCGATGATGTCATCCTGCCAAAACACCACCGAGTCACCCACGAGTCACCACGGCCTCACACACAGCACTCAGACTGACAGGGCAGCTTTAGCAAGTACAGCAGAACCCAAACTATCAGAAGATTGCCCTTTTTTATGACAAGCCCAGAGATAACACCCTGCTTTAGAGAAACCATGACTGAATCACACAATTATGGAATGGTCTGGGTTGGAAGGGATCTTAAAGATCATCTCATTCCACCCCCTGCCATGGGCAGGGACACCTTCCACTAGCCCAAGCCCCGTCCAACCTGGCTTTGGACACTTCCAGGGATGGGGCAGCCACAGCTTCTCTGGGCAACCTGTGCCAGGGCCTCACCACCCTCACAGGGAAGAATTTTTTCCTAATATCTAATCTAACCCCACTCTCTGTCATCTTAAAGCCATTCCCCCTTGTCCTGTCACTCCAGGCCCTTGTACATAGTCCCTCTCCATCTTTCCTGTCGGCCCCTTCAGGCCCTGGAAGGCCACAGTTAGGTCACCCCGAGCCTTCTCCTCTCCAGGCTGAACAATCCCAATTCTCTCAGCCTTTCCTCACAGCAGAGGAGCTCTATCCCTCTAATCAACCTGGTGGCCTCCTCCAGACTTGCTCCAACAGGTCCATGTCCATCATCTCAGCTTCACTAAAACTCCTGGACAGAAGCACAGTGATTTTCCCCTGCTCTGATGTGCACCTGAAACCCCTCTCCTTCAGGTAAGCACTGAACACATTTTCACCTGCCCTACTCATGGAAACAAGGTCCAAACTCTGCTTTTCAGCATGGATCACTTCACAGTGTGCTCAGTCCTGCCCCATGGAATCAAAAGTCCACCAGCAACCCAAGTTTAGTGGCTGATACAGAATGTTTACTTGATTTCTTCAACTTTAACATGTTTAATATCATTGATGAGAAGTGAGGACATCTTACCACGATGATAGCTATTCTTCCTCCCACATCTCCAACAACTGTGATGGGTGGCTTTTCCTTGGGAATCAGCACTGATTAGGGGCAAATTGGTTTAGAGAGATAGAAAGGAGAAAGAAAAGAGAAAGTTTATATAATTTACTTTAATAATGTCTGCTGGGTCACCACAGTTAAGAGAGAGACATGGATCAACAACTGTTTCAACGGCATTACTGGGAAAACCAGCAGGACTTTAATACATAAATGATCTTTTTAAGCTTAGTTAAAATATTAACTACATTCATTTACACTCAAATTGTGAACCAGTTCAACGAATTCTTAATTTTAGCACAGAAACACATTGGCTGGCAGACACAACCAGTTCCTTTTTGCTGGCCCATCACTGCCAGCCCCACTCCCCAAGAAAAGAACAGGTAACACTTTCCCACACACACTTACTTACTGGGGATCTCCAAACTGGGGTGAATAGCAGCGACATATTTGGCTGTAGGTGGGGAGTGCCGACCATCCACCATGTCAGACTCGGCATCCTGAGCTTCCCCGTGGATCACAGCGATCCCCAACCGCAGGCGCTCAGCAAACGACTGTGCCCTGCAGGGAAAGGATTAAAGAACACCGGGAACGTGTTAAATTTAAAATAATTCACCTACATACAATCCTAACCTATTCCCATTTTATTTCTACCGTTTCAGAGGAAAACGAAATGATCCTAAAATTTTAGGAGAACACATGGAAGGAACCACTTGCCCCTTAATATCTTGATTCCACCAGGTTTGTGAGTCAGCATAACCCTGAAAGTGCCCACATGGGCCTTGAAGCAACAGGATAAATGTTGCAAGTCACATAATTGTGATTACTCCCTTCTGCTTTGCCCAACAGCCAAAAACCATTCCCTAGCCTTCGGCATCCTTGGGATTCCAATGCTTTAGGAATCTCATCTAACAGTAACCAAGAATAGTCTTGATGTCTAGATTGTCTACATTTCATAGGAAAAAATATATATTCACATGAAAAAAAAGTGTTCACCTATTTATCTTTAGCACTAAATAAAGACAATATCCCTGACCTGCTGACACAATCTGAGATGCCCTGTGGAAAAGGGGGTCCAGATGATCATTCTGCCTGGCAAACCACACTTCAAGCTGAACAGCCTGGATTTTATTATTAGCTGACATAAAGTTCCTTCACAGCGCGGTATTTCTTTGACTAAAATTAGAAATTTCTGGAAAGAAGTGTGAGGTTAGCTGGGGGAGTGGGCAAAGCAGAGAGCCAGGAAAATGGGAATTTCACAGACAGTGCTTGTATCCCAGATACTGGAAGCAGCAAGTGTAAATTAGCACACCTATCCCACCTTACCTTGCACACCCAAAGTTTGGGACCCTGCCCAAACCACCCCATCTCACCTCCTCTGGTCCAAGGGAATCCAGCACATCTAAAGTGAGTCACCCTGCTCTAACATCAGCACCTCAGACCTGTGCCTGAATCATCTCCTCTATCCTTAAGCCTTGTTTCACTATCCAAACAATCCAGAGTCCAGAGAATAATTTGCCCATCGTGATACTCAGTTAATTAAAAATGAAGAATCTTCCACCCTGTGGTTATCATACAGTTACAATATTCTTGCGAGTAGTTAATTACAGGTAATTATTATTCCAAACATTAAGAGTTAGGACTTAGCAGGCATAATCCTATCAATAAAACCATAATAATTACGTTAAAATGCAATATTAAACTGAACAAAGTTCAAAGTAAGAGCAAAATGATTTATTAATTTTCCAGTGAGCTCAGAAACCGCAGAAACATTCTGAACTCCACCAAGCACGGGTTCTTTTTCACAAGTAGGCATTCCTCACAAGTATTTTCCTGGATTGTTTTCAGCCTGGATTAGGCTGAGACATCCAATCACCCTTTCCCCAATACAATGTGCCTCTTCAAATAGTGCCCTTCAATGCTCGTAGGTCCACACGAAGAAGTTTAACAATACAGCTCTGGGAACCTCTCCTCCCCAAATCCCTGTGTGTGCAACTCATCTGTCTGGTCAGTTTGAACAGACTATTTGCTGGCATTGACAATTACTGGATGAGTGTTAAAATGCTTCAACAAAAGCCTGTCTACACCCAAGTGGCAACACTGACACGGTGGAAAAGAAATGGGAGAGAAACAAATGGAAAATGACTGGCCAAAACAAAAGAAATCACAAAAAGTACTGCTGGAGAACAAAGATGACACAAGTTGAATTGTTACATAAAATAACAAAAACACAAAGTATCACAAATTCCTTGGCATGAATGTCTAAATAACTCTTCAACAAACTCTTGGTTTGTCACCACAGCAAATACAGCATCTCTTAAACCATTGTCCAGCTCTTACAGCACCTGCTGACAGCAGTGTAATTCCAAAGCATCTGGGAACAGTCAACTAAAAAGCTTCATGGATTAAGAACAGTCATTCAACCACAAGGACTTCACAATAAAAATCTTCTCAAATATCAAATCCTGTTTCACCATCTGTATTTAGGATCTGATCAACCATGTTCTTATAGTTAAGCCCACATTAAGCAATTCCCTTGGATGAATGGCATTACATTTCCAGCCATTTTTCTTCATTTACAGCAGGAAATTTAAAATGTAAATGCACACAAATAGAACATGATTAAAAACCTTCTTTATCATAAGCACTGCACTGATTTACCTCATCCTTTTGTTTGTTTTTTTCAAGTCTCCTTAGATTTATTGTGATTACAGAGATGATGTAAAAACTACACAGCTGACAAGGCAGAACTGGGAGGGGTTTGAAGGCTGCATCTTCTAATTACTGGATATCTGTCCTTCACTTGATCCTAAGAACAAAATCCCGACAGAGATTTCCTGCTCTAAGGCAAGAGAGCAGATCTTACCCACCTCTTTGCAGACGCAGGAGATTTGGCCACAATTACAGCATTCCTGTAGTCTGGTATCTGTAGTAAATAACAGATAGCAATGTCCACTTCATATCTTTAGACAAATTTAAACTCAGTAAGAATCAGAGAACTTTATTTTGCCAGAAGAACTTTAAGCATCGAACATTTTCACCTAAGAAAGCAACCTCAGGAATCCATGGTAAATGATCAGAGTTGACAGCTCAGTAAAAACAGGTATTTAGAAAATTCAGATATTGGAACTGTACCTTTCATATACCCCATGTTATAGGAGAGATTACAGAAAAGTAACTGCTTTAGAACATCAGGGCTAGGCAGACAAGTGTTGAAAGAAACAGGAAACCATCAAAATTAAAGTTTCCTGTTCAACTTTAATTGTCTTTCATCACTTGAAAACAGCATTTCACCCATTTCCTATTGCTTTAGAGAGCACACCGAGAAAAGTCACACCTCTCCATCGCATAACACCAACTATTTCTATGGACAATCAGAAGGGATAGAAGTTCCATGTTCACTGCCCTCTCCTGGAGTCACAGTCTCACAGTGCTGCAAACTGTCCTCCACACTGACCAGCACGAGGAGATGCTGCTGCAAACAGCAGCAGAGGGGTAAGGCCAGGAAGTCTGGATTTCCTTTTGAGGTTTGACAGAGACTTCAGTCACGTTTCACAAACACGATCTACTCCTCAGTTTGCTGCCCCTGACCCATTTTCACACTGGTTTTTCACTCCAGACTCCTGCTCTCTGTTTAACCACCATTTTAGTCCCCATCACTCAGAAGTTTCTTATCCTCATCTCCATTTTCCCTGCAAACAGCGACTCCACATCAGACTCATCTTGCCTTGTCCATAACTTCTCAAGCATTCCACTATTCACACTTCCAGCCCTCCTTTCCACAGCAACCTACGCTCCCTCTCATATCTCATCTTACCCCATTCCTTGCAAACTCAGTAGTTTCTTTCACTGTGTTTCCCTGGGATGATCCATCTCTATGGAGAGCAGCTGAAAGAGAACCTGGCTGGCCCTCTCTCCATTGCCACAGTTCTCAGCCAAGCAAAGTCCTACAGAGCAGGTCCATCCTCAGACTCCCAGAGTTAAGGGACCTGCAAATTGATCTGTTACAGATGTAATTGCACAAATTTGGGGGGCTGACACCCTGTCATGCTGCTCACCACCTTGCTGTCAAGATGTCAAATACTCATCCCAGGGCACAGAAACAAGCAGGTTTTCTGCAAACGCAGGCAAGGCAAGTTCTTCCACAATCTTTTCCTCAAACACACAAACTGCGCTGGCTGAGTATTTCCAAAAGCTCTCCCTGAAACGAGCACGGGAAAGAAAAAAATTTGGGCAAGGACCTAATCAACTGAAAACAAGAACTTTTCCGAGGACGTTGTCGGGCAACGTTAATAACCCACAATGTTACTAACTCCACCTATAACACTGGGAATTCAGCATGTTCTGTCCTTTACAAACACTTAGTTATACAAGAGGCTACAAAGATTAACATGACGGAAGGTATGGACAAGGCAGGGCCTGTCACTTGACATAACAGAGGCTTTGATCTTGTTCAGACACCATTGCCTCATTTCTCCCCTGCCAAATTACCAAATTTGTTCTCAGCTCTTCAAAAATGAAGTCGGAAAGCCAGAAGTGTCATCCACAAAGCAGTAAGGTATCAACAACTCCTCAAAACAGAGAGCTGCATCACTCTGGGATTAACTTGTACGCACAGGAAAGAGAAGACACCAAGTAGCCAACGTTTTCTAAGCAATACAGAGGAAACCCAACAAAATTATTTTCATATCACATGAGTTTCACTGATTGGACTGTCTTCATCCCACAACACTGAGTAATTCTCTTCACACCTATGCATAAATTCCCAACAGGGAACAACTACAAGCCCTCGTCCTCTCACCTTTCAGTTAAATGCTTTTTAAATGGCCTCCACTCTTACGAAGCTGGACTCCATTTCATGCTACTCAATACATCCCATCATGACTCCAACTGCTTTGAAAGCTCTGGCATTCCCAATGAAGGATATCCAGCAAGTTGTGGCCACCAGGAACTTGGGATGAATACTAAATTCCTCCTGAGCAGCGCTGGATCACAGTTTTAAGATACTATAAATGACCTGGCTGGTCAAGGTACTTGCCAATGTAGATCCCAAGTGATCAGATCCAGTGAGTCAACTCTAGTTTTAACAAGTCCCCTCATGGACGAGCAGAGGAATGAAGACATAAAGAACTGAAAGTATCTTCTAAGACTTCTCTACACGTACTTCAGATCCCTCTGTAAATGTTCATTTGTTAGACTGCACAGCAGTGCCAGACTCAAAGGTGAAACAATTCTTTGTAAGCCATTAAAAGCTCATGATTCAAGAAGTGCTTCAAGACCAAACCAGGACCATGATCTTGCTATCGACTATAAATCACACACTGTAGCAATATATAAAGGCACAACCTCTCTTGTGTCTGCATACTTGGTTTTCCACTTTTTTTTCCTTTTTTCTAACTTAGGAAGTCCTTACAATGTGCAATACTTCTCTCCTGGAACACAGGATGAATGACTGTGGCAAAGCCAAAGCCCAGGGTTTTGTTCTGCCACCCTCTTTGATTCTATTACCAAATGAAATGATAAAGAGAGCTTCAAATGGTAACTGACTCCCCAAACAGATTTTAACACTGTCATAACAAAATCATGTGGGTTTGGGTTTTCTTAGGGGGGTGGGGTGGGGCGTGTTTCATTTTGGTTTTTAAATTGGGGCATTCATAACCCTATAAAAAGAAATAGCTTGGAACTAAAAGTAAGAGTGAACCCAGCCTTTTCTCTCACCAGGAAGAAAGCATTTGCTTTATTCCAAATTATCATTAGTCAGAGGCTTAACATGTATCTTATACCTACAATTATCATTTGCACAATTTGCATGGATGAATCTACCAGTAGCCCTTCTCAAAGCACTTGTAAAAATAAGATGGAGAAATGGAAGCTCAGAACGCCCCAAGTTAAGCTGCTCAAGTCAAGACATGCTGAACAAACAGTGGGTGAGATTTCCACACAAGAAATCAGCTGGGCTTGCTTTCAGAGCATGATCAATAGGCTCCCTCATAGTTTACAGTTCCCAAAGTGGCTTTTATCATGAGACATTAATTACACCCACACAAGCACTCCATCCTATAAACGTCAAGGAAACTGGAAACAGGAAAGGAAGAGGACATCAAGAGCACAGAAATCCTAACTTTTGTTTTTTTTCCAATATTAGGGGAATATATCTAAGAAGATAGAGCAGCGTTGCTGCACAGGTAAGAAAACACCAGCTCTCCATGGAAGTAAAAGTTAAGCACGTGGGGAGGAAAATAATCAACTGCCCCAACACCATTCCCTGCCACAAACTGGTCCTTTCCCCTTAAAATTCTGTTTGAAGAGTTAATCTTTTCAGAGGAATTTGTTTCAGATGCCTTGAGACATGACAAAAAAGGTAATGTAAAAAAAAGTAACTGTAACAGCAGGCCTTCCTCACCTCTTCTTGGATGTACTGTAGTAAAAACGGGGATGCTCTCAAGTTATCAACTGGAATGTTGAAGAAGCCCTGAATTTCCTTCTGATGTAGATCCATGGTAATAAGATGAGTTAGTCCTTAAAAAAAAAAAAGGAACAAGACATAGAGAGAAGCACATCAAGAAAAGGAAGAGAGAACAAGACAAGACAGTCTTTATTTTTCTAAGTTTCACTGAAGCTTGTCCAGAAAATCTCCAAGCTGCACGAGAACAACATTACACTCAGTGAAAGTACATAACAAATTAACTACGTCCCTCTTAAGCACACGGGCATTAACATGTTTTGAGACTTCTACAGTGTCTTTTTAAAAGAACCTCAGAACACTCCACATAACTGACTCAGTAGTGCCACACTGAGGCAGGTAAGATCCTTCTCCACGGGACAAAATGGAAGCACTAATTTGTCCTATGTCACAGACCCCGGCACACTCACCGTAGCCCTGAACTCCTGAAAAAGGGGCCCAACTCCTAAACTCCTGTTTGGTATGAATGCCTGTTTTTTCCCAGCAGTGGGAATGAAAGGAAAGGAGCAGAAAATGTGCTGAGGGCTGTGGAAATGAATAGTCTCATTCTCCCACGTCATCTCAAATGTAAAGGACAAAGTGCATTCATCCAACAGGTAAAAAGCAGGCCAGAAATGACAATGCACAACTGTTCAAGAGTGTTAAAAACATAAAGAATGGTATTAAGAGATGGATACCATGGCAGCTGAGCCCAGCAGACCCATTTTGCCAACTCAGTAGGACTCAGTGTAAAATGGCTGCTTCAAGTCTGGGTTTTTTTACAAACTCATCGTTCAGAAACGTTTCTAACTAGAAACAATCTCTAATGAGAGAATTTCTAATTCTCCTTTTTATGTGGGTTTTAAACACATGAAAGACTCAGCAGTTATTTTTAAAGAGTCCCAATTTGTGCACAGACCTCTCTAAACCTGGAAGCTGACAGCAGGAGCCCCCTTGCCCTGATAATTTCAGAACAGCCCACACTCTTACCAGCTTTGCACATCATTGAGGCCAGTAACTTAGAGACAATGGAGCCCCTTTTCCTCATCTTGCACTGTTTGCTGTATGGGAAGTAAGGGATCACTCCAATAATGCTTTTGGCACAGGAAGTTTTACACGCATACACCATGATCAGGAGCTCCATGATCGTAGTATTCACATCCCTGCAACGACAAACATCCAGTTCTGTATCCCGGGCACAAAAATCCTGTATTCAGCACAGGATTTATACCCACTCCAGGGTAGCTCAAAGTATGGAGACTGAGCAAACTTCACTAAGCTTCCAGCTCTGGACTTCAGGATGGCAAGTGCCCTGGGCCCAGCATTTGAATTCTTCACCAGGATTACACTTCTTTACTGTTTTCACTCTGCCATTTTGGACAATTCAGCTGTCTTTGTTGGACGGTGTTGCTATAAAAAAGTAGCCCATAAGTTATCCCCAATATCACTTCCTGTTGTCCACAAAATATATGTATTTTCCCATATAGATATGCTTTTTTTAAAAAATACTTTGTATATACAACAAATTCTTCTCTAGTTAAGCCAAGAGCAAGCTAAATACTTAACAGTTAGCATCTGTTCTCTAAGAGAAGTGATCATCAACTAAGACCTATTATTTCTGTTGCCATTAAAAAAATAGCCTTAGCATTTGTAAAGTTCACTTAAAATAAAAGATGCTGTTTTCTGAATCATGGGACACATTGCCCAGGAAATTTTCCTCCTATATTTACAGCTCTGTGATGGAGTTAGAGATGGGCAGCTGAAAAGGGAAAAATTTAAAGAGAATGACATAAGGAAAAGAATACACTTAGGGAAAGAATGCAGGGACCCAGGGGAATATTTCACTGATATATTCACTGAAAATTAAAATAAGAGAAGTTTGCTTATGCCAAAGTCGGCTTTGTGCACATATTAAAAGAAAAACCCAAGACAAATAACAACAAAGAAAAGACTCTATCTAGTTAATCTGAGCTTATTGCACTGTATCACATACACAAGAGATGACTAAAATTAAAACCAGAAGCATTCCTATGGACAGCCCATGTCAAATGCTAGCACAGGGTCTTTAAACAGTTACTCACTTTGAAACTGTTTGGATGATAAATACATCCTTTCCTCTCACAGACTCCTGAATCTGCACTCTTGTTTCTGCCAAGAAGAAAAATATGTAATATTTGCAATAGCAAAAATCAACAGAGTCTCAGAAAAGGGGAGCCAACACATGCACATCAGTGTTGGGTACAATTCCAGTTTTGCTAATTAAATGCTCACCTCTGTTTGGCTCCTGATAAACCTGAACCTTCCCCATCTCAACTCCCAGGCGCCTGCAGGAGCAGAAAACAAGGAGAAGTCAATATGGGGAAAGGAAGGACAAAACAAATGCAAATCCCACAATGCAATAGTTACTGAAAATGCTGTATTCCACGGCAGAAAACCAAGGAAAGAAAGTCCCAAACCATAAAACCAATAATTACAGTGGACATCTCTTTAAAAAGCACCTACAGCTTCCATAAGCTGCACTGCAGACTAAGCCAAATTCATTTTCAAGTCAAGCTCAGAAGAACAAGCAGCAGAAAAAAAAAATGCTTGAATACTAAATCATGCAACAATTTCTAATTTTTAATATGTATTTCCTGCCCTATATATATGTATATACACATGGCAACATACAACTTTTAAGTTGTTCTCCTCTATAGAAAACAGTCAATGTAGAGTGAAGAAGAAATACAGCAAGCACTATTCTGTGGATAATGAAGACTAATGCCTGCTGTATTTATTCCATGCCAGGATCAGCACAGATCCCCATCACTACAAAAAGGAGACAGTTAACAGAATATGACACAGACTCATGCCCAAATTCTTGCCACACGTAACCTGAGTTCCTTTGCACCCCCTTTCTCCTCCCGTCCACACCTAACTTTGGGCACATAAGTCTTGGGAAGAAATCCATCATGTGAAATATTCCCAGTAATGTTATGCATCCTAATTAGCACGGTGAAAATTTACTTAAGCCATAAAAGTTCTGCTGAAGCTATTCATGGATTTAAGCTAAAGGAATGTTCCCATCCAAAATATACAGCGAGCAGGAGAGATGTAGTTTTGCTGCCTAAGAAAACCCCACTACAAGGAGTAGGAAAATGATAAAGAAACTTCTGCCACGATTATTTAACACTATCCAAACATTAATTTTGCCCACGTATTTCCTAATATGTGCTGCAGCCAATCCCAGCCTGCCACGGAACAATTCCAACACAAATTATTCTCCTTCTACTCCAGCTGTTGAAATACACTGTGCAATAGAGCACACACCACGTTCTTGCAAACCATGGCAGTTTTCCCACGTAATTTTCCTTAAAGAGAGAAATCAGAATTAATAAAATAAGACTGTACTTACTCAGCAATCCTCTTGGACAGTTCCATGCACGACGAATTGGAATTAGCTGAAAACAGCACCAGCCCACCCTTGGTGATATTCATGATGGCCCCAATTTCAGTTGATGACACACAAAACATCAACCCTAAGTTGTTTTTCCACTTCTAAAAGACTGCAAGAGATCAAAAGTCAGTTAGAGCCACAATGTTAAAAACAAGAAACAAATTTTCCCCGTTTCGAAAGTGAAGAATTTCCTATAAGCCTGTATTTTCCAGCATCCTCAGTACTTGTTTTCCCCACTTCAACAGCTTCCCTAGAGCTCTCCAAAGATCCCCCTGAAAATCTCCTAACTTAACAGGTTTTTTCCTATTTTGAACTGTTTTCCTCAGGCTATCATCTAGTAACAGAGATCCTCTTTTCCATCAGCTTGTCCAGTTCATTTAACAGAACTGAGCGACATTTATTGACTTTTCCAAGATCACAAAGCCAGTCAGGGGCAGAATGGAGCTGAACAGAGCTCCTGGGTCCTGGCTAGAAGAGTCTGTTTCCATACTGTGTCTCTTTTCATCACTTTGCAATAAATGATAAACTTACAAATAGGGATGAAACGTAAGGAAGAGTTCAATAAAGCTGGCAGCTGTAAATAATGACCTCTTGCACAGTGAATCCACTTGCTGAAGCAGCTGCTGTCATTCTTTGAGATTAATAATTCTCCTGTGAAAACAGGAGAAAAATATCATGAGGAATTCGATACAATTTTTTTTTTGTTTCAAATAAAGGCACAAACCACTAATCCCACCAAGGATTTGATGGGCTTCCATCTTTTTATTACTCTTTATAAATTACATTTTCCTGACTTCTTCTGCTGTAATATTTTAGTCAAATAAAAGAAAAAAAAAATCACATTGTCCAGCAGCCCCTGACAGACCAAAGTAGAATTCAACTCAAAAAGTCCTAGGCTACTGCACTTCACTCACTTCTGTCTAAGAAATGTAATGCTTCATCATCCGTTTCAGAATTATGTAGAGGACTGGAAATATTAAATATGAATGGCTTAAATTATGAAAGAAGTAACTTCTTTCCTGATAAACATCTCTCTGCTGAGACACATAATTATCGAATAGTCACAGGTAATTAATTAGAAAAAGCTGATGGTTTATCAACTGTTAAATACTCCAAAACAGCAACAAAAAGAAAAAAACAACCATTTTTGTATTAGAGGGATAGCTGGCTGGCTCTATAAAGAAACTCTTCACCTCGTCTTTGCAACTAGACATTCTCTTGGTCAGGTTGATTTTGTCACAGAGGAACCCGATTCACTCTCATGAAGAGCCAAAGTCAAGCCAGGAATTTCCTAACAACAAATCTCTTGATGCCCAGTCTGAGCTCTGCTTAACTGCTGTGAATGAAAACCTGCCTGTCATCAGAACCTCCAAAATGTGCAGAGAGTGAGCACAAACAGCAACAATTTCAGCCTCAGAACCTCTGGATCTGGATGTTTCACTCTACTAGAACCAGGTGAACCCCCCACACCTCAAAAGCCAGACCTGTATCCCTGCCAAACGAAGTGCCCAACAATTTAAGGATAAACCTAATTCTAGGCTAGTGTTTGTTCTGCTGCTCAGCTACTCTCTGCAACTCCCAGCTGTTAACTAATGGCCATCAGCCATCAAATATTCATAACAGTGCTCAAGATCCATCTCAGCTCCAAAGAGGGCATGGACTAGAAATGCTGTTAGGTCTCAGAACACCACCTGAGAGCTTGTGTGGCTGGATGGGAACAACGTGGATACAATTTTCCCTGTTACTAAAAGCATTCATACAGAAGGCACTCTTCCCCCCCTCTTCCAGTTGTGTGTCTTCTTCCTTCCATGGATTAGGGAAATGAGAAGCATTAAGAGATCTGCTGAAAGACAAAATTGTTGTTCCCCATTATTGCTCAAGGTGCATTTTATACCACCATAAGATATTGATGTATTCAGCAACACTAAACACTGCTCTTCACATCACAGGTCAAGGACTTCTTTGTGGTCACACTTCAGCAGCTACAAGTGGGCCACGGCGTGTGTGGGGAGGGAAGGTGCATTTAAAGAGTAATCAACCTTGAAACGGGTGTTGGGATGAGAGCAAGGTGGCAGAACTTTATTAGATGTGCAAAGACGTGACTCCACATGGGTACCTGGAACCAAAACCCTCTGGTTTGAGGTGGGCAAGGTCTGGGACAACACAGGCACCACAGAGGCTGAAGCACCAACTCCTGCCCTGCCTTTTGGGCTGCACACAGTTACACAGACATGCCACGATGAACACAACAATTACTGGGTACACATGGCTTTACATCTCCATAAACTGAGCATGTCCGCACAGAAAGCAACAGAGGCAGGAATAACTGTATGGGATAACCATGGTACTAAGCAATGGATCCTCGTGGGACGGAGGGAATCTGCACCCTCTCACCCATCTCCCCACAGGGAATTTTCCCGGCCCTCCACACTCATCTATCCCCCTGGGCTAAGGGACCCTTCCAGCCCACGCCTCCCTACAATCCTTCAGCTGCTCCAGGTGGGTTACACAGGCCCTGTGGTCCCTGCGGATCCCATCCCTCCTATCCTGGAGCGGCCAGTGCACATCGCAGCCCCACGCCGCTCCTCCTCACCTGTGGGGCTGCCGGGGAGCCCGAGAAGCCCTGCAAAGGGCCCGCCCAGGAGAGAGTCCCCATCCCCTGAGGGGAGGGCGACGCAGCCCCTTCCTCAGGCGGCAGAACCCCGTGTGTGGGGAAGGGGGGATGTCCTGCCCACACAGCCAGCTGCAGCGGGCTGAGCGGGCGGGAGTGCCCCTCGCTGAAGGCCTTACCTGCCGGCTCCGGCCCCCCGGCCCCGGGAGAAGGCGGCCCGGCCGGAGGGGAAGGAGGGGGTGAGGCAGAGGGAGAGGCAGAGGCGGCGGCGGAGCTCAGCCCCTCCAGTTCTCCGCGGGCAAGATGGCGGCGGGGCGTGAGGGAGGGAGCGCGGGCGGGAGGGGCGGGCCCGGGGCGACGCCCCCCCCCCCTCCCGCCACGGGCTCGCGCCGCGCTGAGGGGACCCGGCGCCATCTTCCCCCTGAGCCCCGCAGTGAGGGGGAGACACCGGGACAGGGGTCATAGAATCACAGAACCATCAGGGTTGGGAGAGACCTTGAAGATCCTCCAGTCCGACCGCCTGCCCAGCACTGCCACTATAGCCCCTAAAGCATCTCACCCATCGCCAGATCCAGACGCCTCTGGAAAACACCCTCCAGATACGGCGACTCCGCCACCTCTCCCTGGACAGCCCGTTCCAATGCCTGACCACCTGAACAGTGAAAAAAAATTTCTGGTATCTGATCTGAACTTCCCCTGTCGCAGCTTAAGGCCGTTTCCTCTAGTCCTCACTGCATGCACGGTAGAAGATACCAGTCCCCACCTCACTGCAACCTCCTTTCAGGTTGTTGTGGAGAGCGATGATGTCTCCCATGAGCCTCCTCCAGGCTCAAACAAACCTTTTCCAGGTAAACAAACTCAGCTCCCTCAGAAAACACATCTTCTAGACCCCTTCACCAGCCTCGTTGCCCTTCTCTGCCAAAGAGAAGGGCACTTCTGGGTCCCCGTCTGGCATGATGTGGGAACCAGGACACCAACGCCGCAGTTCAGCTCCCACCCACCAAAAAAGACCCTTGCCAGGGTTGGGAGAGCCCCGGTGCAAAGTCCATGTGGAATAAAAGCTGTGGATGTCCGCAGGGTGTCCGCGTTTCGGAGCTCCTACGCCTGCAGCCCTGTCAGAGGGATGGACGGACGGGCGGCTGCCACACTGCTCCGGGCACCTCCATCGCTGTGGCTGATCCTCTCCATCTCCGCTGGTCCCCGTGGTACCATCTGGCCTTTGCCAGCAGACCCAGCAGTGTTTGTAGGGAAAGGGGCACCTCTGGAAAGTAAATTAGGAAAAGAAACAATCAGTGATGTCTCAGTTCCCTGTCACCAGCACACATGATTAATCCACAGTCCCCTGTCAGGACTCCCCTTGCCATGTACATTGATTAAACTGCATGAAGATTCTTTTGACATCTGCAGTGAGACTCTTATTTTAAACACCCTGTTTAAAAAAAAAAACAACAAAAAAACCCAAACAAAACACCAACAAAACATCAACAAACCACCGGCTTTATCCCAGGACACCCATGACAAAACTGTTCTTTCACTGCTTTGAGGAAGTTACAGTCATCCCACACAGACATAGGAGAATAAAGGTCCCTGCTTTAAATAAAAACCCAAACATTGTGGTTTTCCCCCTAACTGCATGGCTAGAACCTGTTTTAAATTATGCTTCTCAGTATGCCCAAGATGAACAGTGTTTTATGGATCAGAATTTTAGCATTTAGTATAAAGGTACAAATTAGGTACTTTTGCTGCAGCTTTTCTCACAAAAAGCAATTAAACTTGATTATTCTTGGCCTGTAGGGTGCACTGGAGCAAAGCCTAGCATCCCAGCAGGTATTTCTGTCCACGCTGGCCTTGATGTGAAAGAGGAGGAAAAGCCATTGAACGCCTCACTTAAACATGCCTGTGAAAGGACAATGTTAAATTCATAGTTTGAAACCATTATGAGCTGCATTTTCCACCTTAAATACTCATGGACGAGTGTTTTCCCTGTGTTTCACATTTCCTTCTTGCTTCACTCATTCCAAGGCTTCATCAATTGTCTCCTCTTTTTGCTTTTTTCAGCAGACTGGGAGCTGGGGAAGGAGAAGCCATTTAACCAGGAGCAGCTGCCAGATGTCGAGCACTCCACTTGCAGGCTCACACAAAGCCAAGACATCTGTTTGAAATATGTGAGCAGAGAGGCCATCAGCCTCTTTATACCCTCAGAGATACAGCACTGATCCTCTGACTTTCCTACAGCCTCTTCCAAATTACAGTGGGGGGGAAGAGAATAGACCTCTCCCAGCACCTCGCCACCCCCACTGTTCCCAGTCTGTGTTTTCCTGTTTCCAGGCTGGTGCTTCCACAATTGATTCGGGGTCGTTGACCCCAGTAGGTTCTTGTTTTGTTTCAGGGCTTTTAGGACAAAAGGGAAGGGGTTTTGAGCTTTTTGTTGGCCTCTTCACAGAGCAGAGGAGATTTCTCTTGGCATCAGTCTCTGTCGCAGGATTTCGCTGCAGCCTGGTGGGGCAGAGCAGTTTGATGCAGAACAACTAGAAACGACACTTGGTGAAGCACTGACCCGTAATGCAATTAGCAGCCTTCCCCAGAAGCATTTTTCAATACCCCAGGGCACCCAGAACTTGCTGACTGTTTGATTTGTGCTGCCCCAAATTCCTGACATTGCTCAAGCAAGCCACAGGACCAGGAACTAAGAGATCCTGCCTTCCAGATCCCTTTTATAACGGCACTGCCTTTGTTTTCTTAGGGGAAAAAAAAAATCAATTTCTCAATTTCTCACCTCTGTTTTCCTGATCAGAGGAATGTGAGTTTAAATCTCAGCTCCCAAGGGAGAGGGATTTGTTAATCTGACAATATGCTATCCAAACACTAAGAGTTTAACAAACAGTTGCTCCAAGATGAGGGCACGGATTTTATTTCATTTACAATGATTCAGTTAGCAGTCATCTAAGGAATGCTGAAAATTTGCTGGGTGTGAATACACTGGCTCACAGAGATTTGTTGTCCTTAATCCAGATGTGACCCTGGCAAGCAGAGATGTGCAAAAAAAAACCCTCCATACACACCTAGTCCAGCCAAGGTGAGGGGCACTGCTCATCCAGCACTTGGCTGGACAACAGCCTGCATCCATCACCTGAGAGAAGATAAATGCTGCTGTCATCCAGGCTCCTGTGCTCCATCCATCACTGCTCAGGCAGGTTGGCTTTTTTTTTTATTTGTTTGTTTGGGGTTGTTTTTGTTTAAAAAAAGGATGGATATTAAAACTCACCTACCAAACCACCTGACAGTGAGAACTATCAGACATGGCACGCCAAAGAAGCACTCTGATTTGATCCTGACAGAGTCCTGTGAATAGGTTTGGTCTCCCCCAACAGAAAGAGGATCCTACAAGGCATCCCAAAAGCATCCTTTACCCTACACAGTCCCTCTGAGCCTGCAGGGAGGTTCTGCAGCACAGACACCTCCACACTGAGTGCAGCCCAAAGGCCACCACCTCCCTGCTCCCCTGCCCTTGGCTTTTCTGCCTGGGGAACAACTGAGTTCTGTTTCCAGAAGATTCTGCCTTGGATATTACCCAGCTAGAGAGGCAGAACTCAAAGTGGCTATAAAATGCATTTCAGAACAGAGGGAAGGAGGAGTAATTTTATCATGTCTTTGGAGTGATTTGGAAATAGCATCCCCCACGTCTGGGAAGCAAAGTGCCTTAAAAAAGGCCCTGGAGCAGAGAACACGTCTTCTCTGTGTGAAGGGCTGTGGCAGTAGATAGCACTCATTGCTTTATCAAATATTACTGCTTGGCTATCTGCAGAAAACAGGCACCCACTCATTTGTCACAGTCTTGTTCTCCCTGAGTCACAGAACTTTGACTGAAGGACTCCCTGAGCTCAGTGTGTTTTCCTGTTTCCAACTGTGCTCCCAGTTCCGGGTCAGTCTGTAATGTTTAACAGATCTGCTACACCAGCTCTGGCACGGACACAGGGTTCTCTCCAGCCAGCCTCCCAACAAAGAGACGAGACGTTTGTGGGAATACTCGTTGTGGAACAGGTCCTGCAGACACACAGCTCGAGCTGGGTGCAAGGGTTTGGACAAACACTGCCCTGAAACAAGAGCCGGTGGTAGCCGCTCTTGCTTGGTTCCCAGACTGTCTTTGCTTTGCTGTGTGTGGGCAGCTCTGTCCTGCAAAGTCTGCATCACATCCTGCTCACATCCATCACCTCATGTTTGTGGCTGTGGTTTGCCCTTTGATTCGCATTTAGACAAAAGTGGTTGAACTGGGCAGTGAAGTCACGTCATTTTAGGCAATTTGAACAGCTGCTCACTTCGTGCCAAACACTAGTTAGTGCTCTGTTCCTCCCTGTCCTACCCACTGGGTCCTAGCATGGTTTGCCATTTACCTCACTAAGCTACAGCTCCTCTACAGAGAGCACCCAGGCACCGTGCCCTGTGCAGGCATTTCGTGAGCACACAGGAAGGACTCAGGTTGGTCACTGCAGAGCAACTTTGCAAATTAAAGCAGAATTCAGTGCAGGAGAGCAGGTCCTGTGCCCTGGGTGTACAACTTGGGGGTGTAAAGAAAGATTTGGTACCAGCCCTGCCCTGTACACTGAGCAGGAGCTGGGAGAGGTGCAGGGAAGGAGCAAAGTGCAACCAGCAAAGAGCACCCTGTGTCTGCCCCAGTTCAGTGCCAACCAGGACCAGCCCTGGATCAGGAAGAGCAGGTTAACCCCCTTGCTGGGAGCAGGACCCTCACCCGTTGGCTATGCCAAGAAAGGCTGAGGAGACCTGGGTAAGGCCCAGCCTATATCACTTATTCACACTATTACCAACATCTCTCCTGCACAGAGAAGCTTTTGACCAATACAGGTCCTCTAATTTGCCATCTTATTTCCTGCCTGATTTCAGCAAGCTGTGGAAGAGGTTCTGCTCTCAGACCACTGTGCACTGTCTTTCCTTAACCTTATCTAACAAATCAATTCCCCAAGCTCAAGAGTGAGACACTTAAAGATTTTACTCACCAGGAAAGTCTCACCAGAGGAGAGGCAGGGGGACCGTTAGGCTTCCCAGAGGCTTTTATTGTCTCATTAAGCTCTCCTTAATGAGAACTTCCTCACCTGCTGCAGTCTCCCTCCCATTCATTTGTATTCACTGTCCTGCTGCTGGTACTTTCGAGGCTGTCTTAGTTCCCACTCCTTCCTCTCTCTTTTCTCTGAACTATTATGAGCCCAGTTTCTATCTCCATGCTCCCATCCAGGTCCCAGGGAGAAAACACTTTCTCCTCTTGAGTTACTGCTTGCCATGTCCTCCTCGGCTGGTTTCCTCCCTGATACCTCTGCAGCTTCTCCCAGCTCCAGAGTCACCTGCAATAGTCTCTCCTCCAAAGCAAGGCAGCAACTGCTCCTGGTGAAATCCCTGGCTTAGATGCTTGCTAAAAACTTGCTTGTTCTCCCAGCTAAGGCTCTCCATGCACAGCTTGAACCCCCACACCTCAGTGGCTCTGCCCGAACCCCGCGCGCTCCAGTGGCTCCGCACGTCCCAGCCCACTGTTTGTAGGAGCGGGGCTGTCGGATCAGCCCCTCCGTGGGACCAATGAGGGCCTCACACCAGCAGGGCAGCGGGTTCAGCACCTTTCTCAATGACTGCAAATACTGGGGGGGTTCAGGCTGTTCCACCCACCCCGTGGCATCTGAAAGAGCCTTGAGAGCAAAGCTGCGTCAGAAGGGGGCACAGCTGCCAAAGCAGCCGCTCAGCCTCCTTGGATTGCTGGTTGGAGAATTCCTCCCCCTTTTATTTCATTCAGGCTTTTCTAGATAAGCATATGGCAAATGCGAGTATCAGAGAGAATGAACAGCCTGCCTCCTAGTTGGGAATGAGGGACTACCACAATTATCCCTGTGATAAAGAGGTAGTCTGAACATGAGGGAACTCGATACAACAGGAGATTTATCTTGAAAGAAGTCCCTTGGCAGCCTGGCCCATATTCTGTCAGCACGGTTTCCCATTGCACAAAGGGCAGGGATCAGACCGGGGATGACAGATCCACCTATATGTCAAGCACATCCTGCTCCATAGCTTAGTTACCTACTGCTATTCCAGTGGCAATTCCTTGGATCACCCAGACACTTTCCTTCATTCAAATCATGTTGTCCCTTGGGAAACTTCACACACCTTAGATTTCTAAATGACCCAGAAAATTGCTTTCTTCCCTACCACAGACCAGGTCAACACTTTAAAACCTGACTCTCGAGGCTGCCAGGATGAGGAGAGAGGCATGACAGGAGTCTGAGGTCCTGGTCCAGCACTCGTGGAGTCTCTTGTCACAAGGAATTACGTGGGATCTGCAAACAGATAAGGAAAACCAGAAAGAGCAAACGCAGGTCTGCACAACCTTGACACAGCAATCGATGCTGTAGTTCACCACAGGAGCAAGTAAATAGCCCTGGAGTTACGTGCTGCATAGCAAACATTGCAGTTTTATCTGGATGACAGGCAGCAATTTGTGGCAAAGGGTAAATCTCTCTGTTCACTCAAGCTTGACATATGGATGGTCATGTTACATTCCCTGTTCTCAGCGGGTTTGTGCATGAATTTAAGGTTAAGTACATGTGTGCCTTTAGGATCACGACCTTCATTCAATATTGCATGGCCCAGCAGACCCATAATTAATCCCCAGCATGTCCAAGTGACAGCTCTCACTCGGTAACGTCATCCATGCAGAACAGTGAGGCACATGTAAATTCATATATTCCGGCTGGGAGTCAGAGATTTTCCAGCCATCAGAGCAGCAAGGCTCCAAGGCAGATTTCTGACAGGATGAACAGGACAATTGGTGGCTTGGGCTGTTTTACAGGTGAATTGGGCACAGCAGGAGAGGGGGGTGTGATACCCTGAGGAGGGTGGGCTGGGAATGACAACACCTCAACACTACCGTTCCTTGTTACGTGACCAACATTTTCTACTCACAAAAATTTAAGAGTTTCAGAAGCTGATGAAGCCTGGGAAGAAAACCTCCACCATCTTCCTCCAGGGAAGTTTGCAAATGTGAAATTTGACCTGACTCAGCTCCGCTACTTGCTCTTCTTTCTCCTCCAAGTCACTGTTTTTCAAATGTACCCAAAGGTCTGAAGCCCAACAATAAGCCATAAGCAGGGTCTGGCAATCAGATCCATGTAGTCCAAGTGCCCCAGGCAAGTCCTCACACCCAGGTCGTGTCCTGCCTGCTTCACTCAAGACAGCTGCTGCTAATGCCAGTGGTTTGTTTCCAAATTCTGGGTATTTAATTTTTTTTTATCTAGTTGTTCTATTACCAAAGATAAACCTGCTCAGTCAGGTTGGATCAACACGTTTTATCCCACAGGCAACACAACAGGCTGGGTAAGTTTTACAGAAATTTATTGGGGTTTAATGTTCATTCACCAACAGCACAAAATATCAGATCCCCGCTATTTAAGGGCTGGAAACATGTCAAACACAAACACAAACCATCATTGCTCAGAAATAGTTATGCTGTACTTCAAACCTGAGTAACAGGAGCACAACCACTGATTTGTCCTTCCTGGGGAGAGAAAAGATGAGTGTCTTACACAAAATACACAGAGACATTGCATTTAACCCTGTTTCTTTGAAAGATGCATGAACAAGAGTCAAAAGGCACAAGGAGTAAAATGCTGCTACTTTCACCCACCTTGCTGCAGCTCCAGAGAGTTCTTTCACTTCCATTGTGTCACAGTATGTTTGAGATACCCCCAAGACACCAAATTATACCTTGCACAGCCCTTCACAGCCCCCAGTCCTGCCATTAGAGCTCTGAAATAAGGGAAAACTGCAGAGAAACACTCAGAGCCTCGGGACCTCCGCTTCCGAAGCAGACCTGGACTTCCTCCGGCTGCTCAGGCTGCCCAGGACCGACTCCTCGCTGAAGGCCCCTTCGAAGGTGGACAGGATGGACTGGCGAAACTTCTCCTTGAAATCCGGCCCCACGAAGACATACAGGATGGGGTTGATGCAGCTGTTGAAGAAAGCAAGGCTGGAAACCAAGGGGATCCCTATGAAAAGGGCCAGTTTCATCTCATGGCTGGAAGAGTTTTTGGATATCTCCAGTAAGGAGAAGACGTGATAGGGGAAATAACAGAGGAAAAATGAGACTGTGACAGCAATGATGATTCTGTAGGGTTTTGCAGAGCTGGCCAACTGCCTTCTTTTCAGCCTGACAGCAACGACGCTGTAGCAGATGAGAATCACCAGGAAAGGGATGAGGAACCCACACAGGAAGCGCGTTACGATCATGGCTTTGTGCCGCACCCTCCACAGCCTCCGCGTTGCCTCGGACGAGTAGTCGTCGGACAGCGCGAAGTTGTTATAGCAGCTGGTGACATTCCTGGAACTGACCACAGTGTCCCGAAAGACCAGGTACGGGGAGCTGAGAAGCAGAGCCAGGACCCACGTTCCCAGTGCGATCCTGGCCGCCAGCTCTGGGCTCCGGTGGTTGTGAGACCAGATGGGAAAGGCCACGGAAACGCAGCGGTCGATGCTGATGACAGTCAGGAGGAAGACGCTGGCAAACATGTTGAGGAAGGCGATGGTGCTGTTCAGCTTGCACAGCAGCTTCCCAAACGGCCAGTGGAAGCCCAGGGCAGTGTAGGCGATGCTGAGGGGCAGGAAAAAGGTGAAGATGAAGTCAGCAATGGCCAGGTTGAGGAACCAGACGGAGTTCACCGTCTTCTTCATCTTGAAGCCTGTGATCCAGATGACAAGGCCATTCCCTGTCACCCCCAGCACACAGGCGATGCCGTACACCACCATGGACAGCATGTGCATGGGCTTCTGGAGCCCGGAGTAGTAGTCCTGGTCAGTGGCATTCTCAGGCAGCTCGGTGGGGCAGCTGGCAGGGAAGGGGGAAGGGGAAGAGGAGACGCTGTCCATTGCTCCAAACCAAGACCTGAAATCACAACAGCACACGGCGCTGTTATCTGTGGCTCCTGCAGTGCAGGAGAGGTGGAAATCTTTGTGAGCAATCCTGCACAAAATGTGTGTGCAGAGCCAGGTTAGATAAATTAATATATCATTAATATAAAGTCCTTCTCTATAGCATCTGCAGCTGCATCTCACACAAACCACCACAACCAGAGAAACAACCCCGGTTTTGGTGTTGGTGCTCTCAGAGGAACACCTCCATCAACAGCCCACAGCAGCAATCCACATGGGATTGTTGGAATCCCATGGAAACCCAGATCCCCCTGCCTTGACAAGTTGTCTTTGGATGACCAGTGACAAATCAAGACAGCAAAACCCATCTAGACTGGCAACAATTATGTTAACAGACCACTTCTTCACCAAGTGCCCGCCAAGGAGGTGCACTCTGAGAGCACACCCCCACCCGAGCTGTATCCAGGTGTAATCCTCAACCAACCAACACCCTCTCAGTGAGCTCCCCCATTCTCCTCGCCCCTCCTGCTCACCCAGCTCGGCAGGTCCTGGCAGGACTCACCCTGGTGCTGTGTTCCTTGGCCGCTCTGCCCACAGCGGGTGGTCTCACCTCCTGGCTGACTCCCCTTCTGCTGCTCCTCTCCAGAGTGACTCACACTGCCTTCCCATAGCTTGGGATCACGAGGAATTTAGTAGGATCACTTATTCCCTAATCTTGTTCCTCAATTTGTGGTGTGTTGATTTAACTCCTGAATCCCCAGCAGCCACACATTCCCTCGGGCTGGTTGGCCAAGCCCACCCAACTAACTTGGACGAAGAACGAAGGAAGCACAGCCCCTCTCCTGCCTGTGCCACTCATCCCCCTGGCAGCTCCCTCCCTCCCGAGCACCTGGATATCACTCCGGGCACCGGGGCTGCCCTGCCACGGTGGGGGGACAGGGCCAGCTCTGCTACCCACGACAGTGGCCCCATGCCCAACCCCTGCCGTGGCCTGGCACACCGGCTTGGTCTCCAGGAGGGGGGCTTTGGGGGTGGCCGGAACTGCTCCCTGCCCGGTGCAGGGTGGGGGGAGCTCCCGTCTTATGGGGGAAGCGAGAGGCATCCCTGGATCGCGGGACACCCCAGGGCTGAGGGAGAGGCACCTCAGGGTGCACGGCAGGCAGGGCTGGAGCTGGGGGTGACAGGAGGGGTGACAGGAGCGGTGACCCCCGCGCTCCCCCGCCCGTCCCGCCCCGTCCCTCCCAAGGTCACCCGCGCCCCGGGCGCCACGTGTGGACCCCCCGCTGGTCCCCGCCCCCGGCGCGGGCCAATCGGGCGCGGGGAGGGGGAGGAGCGCGGCGCTGATTGGCCCAGACGCATCCGGAGCGCCGCCGTGCCTGGCGGAGGGCGGCGCTGATTGGCCCAGGCGCGGGGGGGGCGGGGCCGGGCGGGCTATGGTAGCGAGCGCGCGGGCTCTAGTGCGGCAGGGATCGGGATCGGGACTGGGTTCGGGATAGGAACCGGGATCGGGATCGGTGCGGCGGCGGTAGGAGCCGTGTGGGGCAGGGGAGGGAGGGCAAGGGTGAGAGCCGGGCAGGCAGCGCCGGTCTCCGGGTCAGGGCAAGGTGGGCGCGTCACCGGGAGCCGCTCGGGGATGTGGGAGGAGATAGAGCGGGGATGCAGGAGGTGCAGAGCCAGGTGGGGATGGAGCTTCAGGGCTGGGGTTCGCCCCTGCAGCAGCTGAGCTGCCAGGGCTGGACTGGTGTCCACCACGAGGGTGGGCATGGGGCTCTTATCCTGACTGGGGAATAGGAGCTCTGTGCCCCTCGAGCCTTCTATGGGTTTGCCAAAAGCAGGGGGTGCTGTAACATGCACTTGGGGGACAGGCAGGACCCAGCCATCCTGCTCGGGGCCAGAGCAGTGCACTCTGCCCTTCCCTTCGCAGCCCTTTCCCCAACAAAGCCCCTCTGGCAGTGGGGATTCCCACCCTGCCAGTGCAGCCCCGGGCTGGATCGAAGCCGAGCATCCCTGCCCAGTGAGGGCAGCACAGCAGGCCCACAGCGAATGGACTTCGGCAGCTTGGCACAAGGAAACCATGTGGAATTGCTTAATAACCTGCTCACGGTCCTTCGATGTCCTTGCGGGGTTAATGAGTAAAAGGATCCATTGTTTTCTGCCAAGGCAGCAGCTGGGCTGTTATTCCTCCCTGGGAGCAGCAGTGGCATCGACCAGGCCAGAGGGCTGCCAGGCCTGGGCATCACGTGGAGCCAAGCAGAGGCAGAGCTCATGTGTTTCCTTCACCCAACAGCCCATGGCTGGTCCCTCTGGGTTCCTGGGGAAGATGTGGGATGGGAGCAGGCAGGACATGGGGACCAGCCCCACTGCCATCCCACAGATTCCACAGACTCCCCTCTCCACTGGCAGGTGACTCAGCCCCAGCAGGAACATGGCAAACTCAACACAGGGCCTCCCCACCACCGAGCTCTGGGCCTCCCATAACAAGATGGTGATGGAGCCACTTGACACCAACGACCCGGAGGTGAGACCCCCTTCTGGAGCCTGCCCAGCCAGGGATGCTGGGGATGCTGAACTCCTTGGGCCAGGGACTTGCCAAGGTCCAAGGCTGAGCTGCTGGAACCCATCCATCCTCTGTGCCCTGTCTATGGGATCAGCTGCACCAAGAAGGGATCTTGTCTCCCTTCAGCACCTTTCCAGGCCCCTCTCCATGCCCTGTCCCCTCCAAGGGTGCAGATTCTATGGTGGAGCACCCATGTCTCCATGAGAGCTGTCAGGGGTGAAGCTGTTTCTCCCCTCTCCCAAAGGTGCACAGCATCATCAAGAAGGAGAAGCAGCGGCAGAGGCTGGGGCTGGAGTTGATTGCGTCGGAGAACTTTGCGAGCCGAGCGGTCCTGGAGGCCCTGGGATCCTGCATGAACAACAAATACTCCGAGGGTTACCCGGGACAGAGGTACAGGGCTGGGCCAACTCCCGCCAACCTGACAGGGAGGGGGAGGGACCACCCAGCCTGCCAGGCCTCTCCTCTGAGAAGGAGGTGATGTCTGTGTGCTGGCAGCCAAGCTCTTCCAGGGCAGGATCTGACCCTCTTGGCTTCTATCCTTGGCCACATGTGGGACAATCTCAGCAGGGTCAAGAGTGCTGTGGCTGCCACAAACAGGGCACCACCCCCTCCCCATCTTGGTCACAGGGACTGTTCTGGGTAAGGAGTTTGGTTTTACTCCCTGCCCCGTCCTTCACCACAGGTACTATGGCGGGACGGAGTTCGTGGATGAGCTGGAAAGTCTGTGCCAGAAGCGAGCCCTGGAGGCCTACCGGCTCGACCCCCAGAAGTGGGGTGTTAATGTCCAGCCCTACTCAGGTAACAGGGTGCTCAGCAGAGCCAGGACAGTTGCCCTGGTCTCTGTGTGCCCCAGCACTCACAGCCACGTGGTGGGCTCTCGCTGCAGGGTCACCCGCAAACTTTGCGGTGTACACGGCCCTGGTGGAGCCCCACGGCAGGATCATGGGGCTGGACCTGCCCGATGGAGGCCACCTCACCCACGGGTTCATGACAGACAAGAAGAAGATCTCTGCCACCTCTGTCTTCTTTGAGTCCATGCCCTACAAGGTACAGGGAGCTGCTCCAGCTGCAGCCAGGATGTGGCCATCATAAGTGTTGGTGCCCCTTAAACATTCTGGCATGGGGCTCCCAGCACTGCGTCCTGCAGGACAGCGCTGCAGCCGGTCTTCACCACACCAAGGGGGCTGAACCCTCCTCTTCTCTCCCAGGTCAACCCCAAGACTGGTTACATCGACTACGACCAGCTGGAGAATAATGCCCGGCTCTTCCACCCCAAGCTGATCATAGCAGGTAAGGGCACACCTGTACCGACCTCCCTGCTGACACACCTGGCTGGGGGTGGCTCCCAGAATCCAGTAGCACTCCAGTAATCCCACGGATGCTGCAGCGCCAGGAGGAGACCTCCAACACATCCACCCTGCGTGCTGTCCCAGCTGCAGGGCTGGAGCCGGGGCTGTCCCATTCCTGGTGCATCTGCTCCTGCCTCCTCCTCATCCCATCCCCCTGCAGGTGTCAGCTGCTACTCCCGAAACCTGGACTACGCCCGCATGCGGAAGATTGCAGATGCCAACGGCGCCTACCTGATGGCCGACATGGCCCACATCAGCGGGCTGGTGGCCGCTGGCGTGGTGCCCTCGCCCTTCGACCACTGCGACGTCGTCTCCACCACCACCCACAAGACCCTGCGAGGCTGCAGGGCCGGCATGATCTTCTACCGCAAAGGTGCCCGGCCCGGCTGCGCTGCGGGGAGAAACGCTGCCCTCAGGCTGGGGGGTGCAAGTTAACGCTCCTTCCCGCTCTAGGTGGGAAGGAGGGAGGGAAGAAAGATCCTGGGAACATCTGGGGAGCTTCCCTGGGCCGACCCTGGCTCAGATTTGAAGAGGAGCAGCCACCATACCCGCTCTTAGTGGCTGGGGGTGAAAGCAGCTCGTGGGAGGGAGAAGGGTGGCCGTGCTGCCTGATGAGTGACCCTGCCTTCCTCTCCCGCAGGCACCCGCAGCGTGGACCCCAAGACGGGCAAGGAGACACTCTACAACCTGGAGAGCCTCATCAACCAGGCGGTCTTCCCGGGGCTGCAGGGAGGCCCACACAACCACGCCATTGCAGGTATGCACACAGCTCCAGCGTGGCAAAGGTGTCCTGGCAGGGCTCTGACCCCCGGCAACAGCCTGGACATACCACGGCAAAGGGCAGCCGGGTGATCTGTCATTGCCCGAGGAGTGACCAGGCTTGTCCGTCCTCCATTTTGGCTCCTGGCGATGTCACCAGCCTGGATATGGGGAAGGAAGGGACTGTCCATCAGTTTGCTCAGCTTCCGGGATGACTTGTGCTGGCATCCCCCAAAAGCTCACTCCAGCCTCCTCCCACCGCAGGGATTGCCGTGGCGCTGCGCCAGGCCATGACCCCGGAGTTCAAGGCTTACCAGCAGCAGGTGGTGGCCAATTGCAAGGCCCTCTCGTCGGCGCTGATGGAGATGGGCTACGACATTGTCACAGGTGAGGAGGGGTCTCGGCAGTGGGATGGGGTCCGAGCCAGGCCAGGAGGGCACAATGGGCAGAGCTCTGCCAGCATGATTCCTCAGGACATCCACAAACCTGTTCTGAAGCAGCCCCAGTTCCCAAGGTCAGGCCCCCTTTAGCCCCCCACACTGGGGGCAGGCCCTGGTGCAATCCCAAGCCTCTTAGCTGATGTTTCCTGTGGGAGCAGCATTTCCCCAATCCCACATCCCCACCAAACCCCTCTCCTTGCAGGGGGCTCTGACAACCACCTGATCCTCCTGGACCTGCGCAACAGAGGCACAGACGGCGGCCGGGCCGAGCGGGTGCTGGAGATCTGCTCCATCGCCTGCAACAAGAACACCTGCCCCGGTGAGGGATCCCACCAGCTCTGCCGTGTCCTGCCCCACATGCTGGGGATCTCCCGTGGCCTGTGCAGAGCTTCCCACAGAGCTCCCAGCTCTCAGTCCACCCCGGACGCTGGGAACGAGGCTGAAATGCCACACCTGGTGGTTTCGGTGCGGGGTTTGGTCACGTGTGCCCTGTCCTGGTGCAGGTGATGTCAGTGCCCTGCGCCCCAGCGGGCTGCGGTTCGGGACACCCGCTCTCACCTCCCGCGGCTTCCGGCAGGACGATTTCCGCAAGGTGGCTCAGTACATCCACAGAGGTGAGCAGGGCTGGGATTCAGCTCCAGCAGCATCCTGGGCCAGGGCAGCTCCCCTGGATGAGGAGGCACTGGCTGGCAAGGGAGCACACCCACAAGTGAGGAATAACCATCCCACCTGCACATCTAGATGTGGGAGAGGACATGTGGCCACAGCTGGGACCGGCCAAACCCTTCCCTGTCCCTCGCAGTCTTGTCCCAGTTGTCCTCAGGCATCCCACACTGGTTTCCCAGGGCAGCAAGTCCCTCACACGGGAGGGAGGGAGCAGGGCTGTGTCCTGGGGAGCAGCAGGGCTGGGAGAGCCGTGGGATGCAGCAGCTGCGAGGGCTGACCAAGGCACCTCCCACGCTGGCAGGGATCGAGCTGACGCTGCGCGTGCAGAAGGACATGAGCCCCAAGGCCACACTGAAGGAATTCAAGGAGAAACTGGAGGAGGACAAATACCGTGCAGAGCTGAAGGCACTGAAGGAAGAGGTGGAAGCCTTTGCAGCCACCTTCCCACTCCCAGGGCT